ATGTGAAGGAGAAAGAAGGGAGGCGTCAGCAGTAGCCTGTTTTCGCTTACCCGCCCTGCTGTATGAAGCAAGTAAGGCGACCCGGCTGATGGCACCACGTGACGGCCGATGTGGCATGAGAATATTGTTAGTTGTGTAGGTCATGGTTGTACGAGGGCTGGGATACTGCCAGGGCGCCCACACCTAGACAGGAGGACGATTAGGGTCCTCAACCAAAGCCCTTGGCTCAAAAGCCTAAGCGCAAAGCAGCGGTGTTTGGCGGGAAATGCAAATGCACAACCATTTCTACGGAACAAGTCGCCACATGATCCAACCCCCAACCTGGAGGGCCAGGAGACTGTGTTCGTCAGACCTCTGACCATTAACCAACCTGGTATGAGAGACTCTGTGAGTGTCGCGGGACACTCTCCAGTATAGCTCAATGGATCGCTGCGGTGCGCACACACGGTCACACCACGGTAAGGTCCAGTCTCTTCGTGACGGTTGTTCGAAAACATAAGAACAACTGTCCAGCGTTGACACGATTTTGATACATACGTGCCATGCTACCACGAGGCTGAAAGACTGCAGGTGGTGCTTGCGGGATCGAGCCGTGCACTTGCCAGTCAATAGCTTTGTGTCTTAACTACTAAGTTATCTTGAACTGTTCCGAAAACATGCTTTTTGGTCGAATGACAGGATTATCTGTGAGTCAGTATTCTTCTAACCAGCCAGACAGTAAAGATGGAAGACCTAGGTGGCAACTGGTACAGTTCGTACAAAACAAACACCTAGACAAATTAGCTGCCAAGTGGTTAAAGCGCGAGTTTACTGACCGGAAGATCCGTGCTTAGTACCCACCCTCTGCCTCTCGACTTACCCTGTCTAGGCTTGGGCAACCTGGCAGTATCCCAGCCCTCGTGCTTCCTTCCGGTAGCATAGCACCGGAAGGGTGCTATAGCTGAACGATTTGCTCCCATGTTTGTCGATGTGTCACTGGTTTCCAGTTCTGTAGGGAAGCTCACTTCATTTCTAAAAGCTGTATTTGGGTCCAGCGCACCAAGAGAGTGGAGTGGGAATTTTGATGTTTTTCGGCTGTTTAGGAGTTTGTTGAGCGATACACCCTGGTTTCGATTTTACCGACAATCTCTGTCAACTAATTCTCTTCGTCAAACAAGATACCTCCCTCTTAATGTTGCTCTTAGTGTATGTCCACCTGCGTTGGCGAGACCTCGCCTTTGTCAGGTGGTACGTTGTAACTTACCGGTTCGATTCATAGCTGTTTATGTTATCCATGTGTGTTTGTGTGTGGACATCTGTCTTGTTCGCTCTTTGTTGATTCAAACAGCGTGGGCTCATTTGGTCCGGAAGTTTGAATCTTTGTGCATACGGACGATCCCGGACACAGACCATTCCTCGTGTGTTTTGATATGTAGTGACCTGGTTCATGTTTAGCCTGTCATCGTGGTCATTCATGCAAGGAAGGTAGACCATGATAGCCTCTCCTGAATCGTGTAAAATCTGCCTTTTTACACAACCATTTTCCTCACTTTCGACGCCCACAGCGAGTAGTGAAAATATCAGAACAGAGTCCTTTTCACAGAGCTGAATCACGTGGTTAGAGCGCGAATCTACTGACCGGATGGTCCGTGATTCGAACCCGACCTCTGACTCTCGACTTCTCCTGTCTAGACTTGGGCAACCTGGCAGTATCCCATCCCTCGTGCTTCCTTTGGATGGCATGGCAGCTAGGCCTCGCAAAGGTGCTGTAGCTGAACGGTTCTTTTCGCAGAACAGCTGCTGTCGTTATCATCATTGAGATCAACGTGTGCGTGTAACGCCGGCGTCTCACTCTATTGAAATCTGCGTAAGCTGGCATGGATACGGTCGTGCTAGCTCACTGTAAGGCGAACGAATTTCTAAATCGAAATTTTCGATTCCATTGCCTGATAGCAGTCTCACGAGGTCCAACCGAAAATAGGATTCCGTTTCTTCAAGTCTGCAAGACAAGCGATTGTGCTCATCCACCCTCCGTGTATTGATCAACTTGGGGCATTACCGGAGTGTTGTGGTCACATAGCGTGATGGGTTACGGAGCCACAGACCGCGATGAAGTTCACCATCTGGCACCGTTCTGTCCGAGTCTACCTTGCACTCACTCTGATTTTCATTGGAGAGCAAGCTTTCTTTATGGGAGTCGAATTCACATCCGATGTTGCCTTTTATAGCAACATTCGTGAACACTGCTCACCTCGAGCAATGTTCACCTACATTTTCATGAGTGAGCGTAGCAAACGTATTCGGCCACAGTATATATATATTGATATCAAAATAATAACATAATATAGTAAAATCGTTTGAACTCGCTGGAATAGATTCTGTGGATTTAATGGGGATGGTTCTGGATGCGTGGAGGTGGCGAACCTATCTGATGTTATTGAATTTCTCTGTCTCACATGGACAACTAACATTGTTAATCTTTTGTCAGTTTCTAGTTCTGCATAAGAGTCATGATTTGTCCAATACTGAGAACGCCTAACAAAGACGAAACCACGCTGTGATTCCTTTGGCTTTCTAGCACGGGTTGACTCAGGTGCTAGTTCCTGAGCTGGCTGGTTTTCCTCTGACCCAGTGGTTCTCAAACTTTTCGGTTCATCGACCCCAGCTGCATGACACCGTTGTTCTGTGATTTTATGTACTTGCTTGGACCGGAAACCCGGAGTCGTCACTCTGAAGCGAGACGATTCTCACGCCTAGTAAATAAGGTGCAATTTTGTGAGTTCTCTTCGAGGGGTATCCTTCTTCAGGAACAGCCGGAAACCTCTTTCTCAGCACTTCACTGCAAGCTTATACGGCGGTTGGTGGCTGGACAAATCAGAAAATGTGTAAGATTTTGATTGTGGAAGTGCAGATCCTGATGCATACCGACTACTCTAGAAACCCCATCTGCTGAATACGATATTGCAAACAGGGTGAGCATAGTTTGGACCCATTATCTCGTGTCCGAGCTTCGGTCACGGTAACGCGCGGGTGCGTTGTTCGGTCATGGCGTCACTAGACTCTCTAAATTCGACTTCAGTGTTCTCGATTTCGTGTGATATGACATTATGCCCTGCATACGCCGCTTCAATTTTCGGCGTAGTGAACAACCCATTCTGTTTATCTCAGACGCATAGCACACCTTTTCTTCATAAATATCGATACGAGTCTGATACAGAGTGATCGCACACCGTTGTCACTGTGACTGACATTCCGTCCATCAGTAGATGCGTACCAATGCATCGGCCACTACAGAAACAGTGAGTCAAGGTGAGGGGGGACGCTTTGAGCCATTCTCCTGTCCCCCCTTGAGCTTGTTGCTGACACAATCGTTTCCAGGTTACTGGCTTGTTTACTAATCCCATTAAATTACGGATGGACGCAGGAAGACATGTGGTGTCCGTAGGCATCATTCCTAGCTACAGATCACAGCTTGATTCTCTCCGAGGCCTTGTTCTGTTCGATCGATTAGTCCAGTTGCACTAGAACAAAGTGAATTGGACACGAACTACCCAGTGTGTTGGAGCATTTGGAATAAGAATCGATCTAACCCCCGTTTCCTGGTCCAGCTGACCACGGTTATCTTTGTGTACTTTTCCATCTTCTCTATAAATATGAAGGCGTTAGTTTCGTTTTCTTGCAGTTTATCTCTCTGCACACTTGCAAGTTGCTGTCTCCCCACTTTTCCAAATGGTGGAGTAATCCTTTCACCCATTTATACCCAAAGAGCGTCACCAGGGTGGTTGTTTTTTTTTTCAAAGTGATGGGAAGCAAACTATGTCGACTAACTTTCACACTGACCGTTATTCCCGATTACCGATTTCCAAGTAGAACCAAACCCAGTTTCATGAGAACTTGACGAGATTATAATTGATAACCCTATCTGCCTTCGCCCTGATGGGTTGTTTACGGACTGTTTTGCTGTTTATCTGAGATCCAAAGTTTGTTTGTTTGTTTGGTTTTCCGTTTGTTTACTTCGCACACAAACACCCCATTTTGCGGCCATGATTTTCCGTAACAAACAAAAAAGCGGACGGCTCAGAAATCAACCATCGTCCCGTGGGAAACGGTCTTGTGGGGGAAGATTTAACATCACTGAAAGGATGTGATCGTCTGCTGTTGGCGTGAGTTCACGTCTGTTCTTATCACTGGTGATGTGCGTGGTGAAGACATTACCTGTTGCTGACTTTATACATTAGGACGCTGTAACACAGTACTTCGATTCTTCATATCATTCCTCACACCACCATACATTGCGTAATTGCGTTTGCGTGAACCAATATTCACGGTGCTTTAGATTTCTTTCGACCATTTTTCTTACCCTGCAAGTGAAGTTTCAACAGTGACTAACGGGACAAAAGTAGCTCGGGATAGTCGCTGTGCAGCTCGCAACAAACGTCAGCGCGGTGTGATTGATAAGAACGAATAGTTTACAGTCAAGGGAATGTGTCTAACCGTCACCGTGGTGTGACTGTTTGCGCACCTCAGCGATCCATTGAGCTATGCTGGAGAGTGTCCCGCGACACTCACAGAGTCTCTCACACCAGGTTGGTCAATGGTTAGAGGTCTGACGAACACAGTCTCCTGGCCCTCCAGGTTGGGGGTTGGAACATGTGGCGACCTGTTCCGTAAAAAACGATGGTGCATTTACATTTCCCGCCAAACACCGCTGCCTTGCGCTTAGGCTTTTGAGCCAAAGGCTTTGGTTGAGGACCCTAATCGTCCTCCTGTCTAGGTGTGGGCGCCCTGTGAATATCTCAGCCCTCATACAACCATGTACGGGAGTGAAGCATCGGTGTTGAACACCGACGTCATTCTGTCGACGATGATGATGTGTCTAACCTGGAGAACGTATTCGCCAGTCTTGAATTCTACACTGCCACAAACTTCTGTGCCTTGAGAGTTAGTAAGGGCCTGATTCGTGATGCTCTAAGTCTTTCATCCCAAACATTTGGCCATCAGTACAACGGGCAGACCATTGGATAGGCAATTTTCTAGGAGGAGTGGTTCAGGCGCAACACCCTTCCGGTGCCTAGCTGCCATGCCCACGGAAGGAGGCACGAGGGCAGGGATACTGCTAGGTTGCCCAAGCCTAGACAGGAACAGTCGGGATGCTGAGATTGGGTTCGAGTCACGGACCTCCTAGTCCGTAAGCTGGCGCCTTAACCACTGAGCTATCTTGAGCTCAGGAGTCAGTAGCTGCTGTTGTCAGACCCAGAATATGCGTTATCCCCCCCTCAATATGGTTTACCCCCCCCCCCCGCCCCAAACGTCAAAACTCTGCGCGCTAGCATTCCATAAAAAACTGAACATGTTAAACCCATCCTATTACCCCGTTATTTGGGAAAATCGAAAGGAGACATTTTAGGGGCAACTGTGTTCACAAAGCATGAAAATATTGATGTCAGTCTGTTACGGTTTCAACTATTGTCTTACCAGCCTTTCCACCCCAAATACATGCGCTTATATCCATTGAAGTCAGAGCATCAGTCACACTGTTGGCACAAACCCCTTAATAATCGGTTTCGATTGGATTTTCTTTTGAATGTTCACCTGCTCCATCACTTAAGCTTTCTGGACGCACCAAGCTTCTCGTTCCCCGCGGAGGCCCTTCTTCATCCGAATCTGACAGTTCGTCGAGTAGTATTGTACCCTCGACCATAAGGAATACATGTTGGTTGCATAATACCGACTCTTCCGAGTTAAACACTATCAGTGTGCTAACGCGTCCAGTTTCCTCTCCAAGGTGCACTTGTGCCTTTGTCTCTCCGCAGAAGATAGTCTATTCTGTTTTTCTTGTTGTGGGTAATTAATTCGCAGTTTGACCGCGCTTTGTAGAAAATTCGGTTCGTAGATACGAGTCGGTTTTGTACCCTACAACTTATTGTACACAAACATCTGTTACACAAGTGAGCTGTGTTCAGAATACAGCTTTTACTTCCATTGAGGAATTTCCTATTGGGATGGAATGGGGAGGGTGATCTCGGACGTGACAGTCTCATCTTCTTCACCGTTCGCCCTTAAGACCGTCCTCTTTGTTGTGTACTTCCTGACGTGTTTGTGAGATTCTCACTGCCATGTTTATATTAACAAACACACATCTGGAATGCCTCCTTGTCGACACGGACCTAGGATGGTGTTATGAGTAGTACCTCCACTGTCACCGTGTTTTTCGTTACCTGGTCACACTTATATTGTCTCCTGGTAGAGTTGGGGGGAAACCCACTCACCGTGTTCTAGTTTCGTTCGGTTTACCCTTTGAGTCGTGCCTATTGAGTCGGATAAACACAGAGGGAACGTACGCTGCCTGACTTGATGACATCAACTTAGCAGCCATTTAACAACCCGTTGTTTTACCGTGTGTTATCACTACTGGTTTTATTCTACGGATCTTTATATCCCCTACGAGGTTGGACATTCTTCCACTCACCTCGTGAGTTTGCTTGCCCAAGTTTCACCCACTCAGTTTATGTTCATTCGCTCTTGCTTCCCTCATGGCGCAAAGATTGCACATCCGATTCCCTAGGTAGACTTATTTTATTGATTGAGGGAGTTGAAAGAACCTCTTTATCGCAATCAGACGTCAAGCCACTGTACGTATGATCCTGTCATCCAGCTCCCCACTTTCATCTAGCCTACCCGACAATCTTGTCCTTGATTTCTGAAGTAAAGTACTTCTTTCTAGTGCCTACACACACCTGTTGCTACTTCTGTTATTCGCCATGTTTACTTCACGATACGTGTCTCCCATTGGGCTTCCGTTTTGGCACGATCTACTTTCGCTCATTCACATTCAATCCATCCCTCTGAATGATAAAGCATTCTCTTGAGAAACTCCGACATTAGTAATTTTTTCATTACCTCCCCATCTGTGTATTCTCCCGGTGCGCGCATCCTTTATTTTGTGTACCGCAAGGCATCAAAGCGTTTCTACCGTGCCCCTCTGACCCTTATTTCCACGGTGTCCTGTAACCTCATGGTCTTATCCTGTACGATTCCACGTTATGCGGGACCCCCTGGTAACCTCTTGAAATCACTTGGATGTTACGGTTTCATTTGTTTGCATGCCGTTTGATCTTCATAGATTTCTTGGTGGAATACCGATTATTTCCCCCCATACAGTCGTGACAAATACCTCGTTTGCTTGTTTCAACTAACCCTCCCTCAATTGATCGTCTTGTCCGCCGACATTTCCCTCATTGCTCCATTTTTTCTGCCCATCTGTTCTACATACCTACAGAAAATATCCTCAGAATTGCCAATGTCAGTGTGCAAGATTTGGGTGTGTATCAATGCGTCGCGAAACGTGCGTCGACCAAGCGACTAGGGGATGAATGGGCATCCGCTTCTGCAGTACTGGCTCTAGCTTCTGACAAGATCATCAAGACACGTGAGCTTTTTCTTTCCCCGTTTCGTTGCTATTTGATTTCTCGGCTATCCATAGTCGGTCGGTCACCTGTTGTCTAGTCTAGAAGGATGCGGCTGCCAACCGTCCCGATTCGATGGATAAACACTATCCTATATGAACAGCGCACGATTGGTTCCGCACAACATCACATTGTGCAACGGGAAGGCAGTAGTAGCCTGACACTTTCCACTCAACCGGTTAAGGTCATTGCTTTACCATTTTGTTTAAACCAGACACCTTGTATGCATAAGGTCATGTGTGACTATGGTAAATGTCAATCGTTTTTGCGATTTCTCTCAACACCTGTTCGTTGCGCTTCTTTGGATTAGGTTTCTGTCCACTATGGCAACACTATGCAACACGACCGCATAACACAATAGTCAACTCTAATCGGAGTCGTTGGTGCCGTTTTTTAACATTGTTTGCTATCACAACTGGTTGGTTGATCGACAATTCGACTGTACATCGTGTTCAATGCCGGTATATTGTTTTTTCTCTTGGATACGAGAGACTGACACCCGGAACATTGACAAACGGTCGGATCACTGTACGACTACGCATAGTTGGCATACCACAAACGGCTTGTACGGAGCTGCGTGCAAGCAACCGGTGCAGCTGATGTGGAGCTGATGGAATAAAATCAATGGAAAAACAGGCAGAGAAGGGCTAAACACCAAAATGGACGTGGAAATAGTTCCATACTCAATGCACGTGGTTCCTGTGTTCTTACCTTATCAAACTCCGGTTCGCTCGAACGCAGGACTAAGCCGCGCGGTTGGTAGTTTAGTCCCAGATGCATGAAACTCGACCATCTTGAATTTCCTCGTTCTTGGTTGGGCCTCTGTGTAGCCCACTTCAATTATAAAAATCGCCTTTGATTGGTCCGTTCTATCAGCTCCTATCTATGGTGACAAATGCAGCTATTTTCAAGCGATTCCGGATAGTCAGTTCTCTGTCCAATGTGTATTTGTCATTGTGGAAACGTCCCTTACCGAACTTTTCATCCATAGTCATTCTCCTCATTGGATAAACAGCAATAAGTTTAACTAGGGAAATTCGTCCTCGAATGGGCGACAAAATGCTCACATTCACATCTCATGTAATGGCGGAACAAAAGAACATATTAGTCAGAACGCTCAAGGGATAGTCAGTTCTGCTCAACGAACAATCATTTGGCAATGCTGGTTGGGTTTTCACTCTGTACACGTTACATCTTACACGGCTCAGTAAACAAACGGTGAATTAAATTTGGATCTCTTCACACACCCATTCATGCTGAACCACCAAAAGTCCACGTTCTACCTTAAGGTCACCACTCTATGATCGTACTTTTCTGTCGTTCGGTACTACTGTTTTCTTCAGTCTCATAGCCGTTGCACACCTTTCAAAGCAGCATTACTTTTTGACAAAAAACGTTGTTTCCGTATGCTTGCCCTGACCAGCGTGCTCGTCCTGGCCATCTAAGCTTGCTATATTTTCTACCCACTCCAGCAGTGTGGCGTTCCAATTCAGTTAGCTCGTTATATTCATATTTAACTATTCTAGAAGATTCACCTAGGCTAGTAGCAGTGCCCACCATATGAGTCCTGGAATCGGACAAGTTTGTACCACTATCCATCTATTGGGAGAGTTTAAAACAGTTCAATCAATAGTGTTTCTACCTCTGTACGGATTGTGGTCCTATTTCACTGAGGGCCAGTACACGTTTGTGTATAGTTTACATGTCAATCTCCGAGAGTGTTACCCAGATGCCAGTTGCAGATTTGCACAAATGGACCGAACCACCCGGTCTGTCGGGTAGCACCACCCACCAGTGTTCATCAAGTGGTTTTCATTGAATGGGCTTATTTTCCCCGTATATTTGTGTTCTTCCCACTTATCGGCCTTTTTTTCTTTTTCTATCTATTTTCAGCCGGAGACCTTGCTGTCTACACACCACAACGTCCGGTTGTTCCTCTCGAGTCTACTACTGGTGAGATTTTGTCCGGACTGTCCCATCTCTTCGAACTGGGTGTTGCATGGTTTTTTTTGTTTCGTCACTCTCTTAGTGGTTGTTTACCAGATTGTAGGGCTTGATATAATTGGACATCTCCACACCAACATCGTGATTATTCCAATGACGCTTTTCTGCGAACAAGCGCTGCAGTCTTTCGCCAAACAGCTGATGCTCATTCAAACGAGAGTCATTAACCTTCGCATCAACAATGTGGTAGTGACATCGGGACACATTCCCTACATATGGCTCATCGTGTGTACCAGTAAAGCCTGAGGAAGAGCGTCAGTCTGAAGGTTTCATACCTCTAGCTGGTGGATTTTGTTCATAACACTCGAATGTGTTGCTTTGTCTGTCCTGTCTCCAGGACCCAGTCAATCATTCTCCCCAAACCTTTTTTCCGCAACTGTGTACAGCTGTGCCAAAACAGCTGTGTGGTCACGTGAGTTCATCTGCACAGCTGTCGCATTCGTTTTGTTTCGCGCTTCTTCCTTACGAGCGGTGGAATTCGAACGTGTTCAGCAACTCGCCTCCTCACTCGTTCACACGCCAGCTGGTATAGTATCCGTCCCTAATTGAATGTGACGTTGTCCTCACAATATCGATACCGCCTTCATCGGGCGACACATGGTTCTGTCCGTCGGCTTTCCACCTGTGGCATGATGGAACAATCGGTTCCTTCACTAGACACAATATGGGAGCTTCCACTGGTCTCATTAAATTTCACTAGAATCCTTTTGGTGCAGCAGAAACCGGAGAGAAACAATGATTCTTATCCTAAAAGATAAACACAACACGTTCAGTCAGTTTTGCAATGATGGTTTGTTTGACTGCCCGGATTGCACACTTGACCAATCGACCCACTGCCGCATGTGTTATCCCGCCACATGTGTACACATGCACACTCTTGTCTACCGTAGCGCTTCTTGTACTGGCGACGAAAAATTTGTGACCAGTACCAAGGTGCAACTTGATTACTCCAACTGGCCAGAGTCGTCTTGTTAAGTCCAACATCTGGATTGTTTATCCTAGTTCTGATTGACTGCATCCTTCTAAAAGTGATCGCGCTCGTTTCAACACATCATTGGGTTTTTTTCGTCTACCATCTATCTTTTAATTATTCCGTTCAGAGGTCACCACGAGCGAACTGACACCGCAAGCCCAAGCTTTGTACGACAACTTGGCTGTGTATCTTGTATGGCAGCCACTGGGGCCAGAAGTTTCAGGGATGGAACAGTCGAAATCGGTCGAATATCGCTTGGAGTATTCCGTCCAGGTGAACCCTGTAGAAGAGCGACAAAACGGTCCCAATTCAACGGAGACACCGGCTGCATTGGTTGGTCTGATTGGACACGAAGCAGTCCGATGGAGTGAACCTTCCTCCCTGAAACAACAGGTAAGCATCGTTTGTTCTGGTTTTTCGTCTACAAGAGTGTGCACCAGTCTTCCAACTTCCCCAGATTGGCTCGCCACTAAACCTTCTCGTCTCTTTGCCAGGTGAAAGCGAGGTCTAGGTTCACAATCGCATCTTTGCCTACTACTGGACTCCTAATTCACGCTAGTTTCAGGTTCTATCACGCTAACATCCCACTCGGTCGCCAGCCTGCTGCTCTCGGATTAATTGTTCAACTAATCCGAGCCATCGGCTTCTCCTGTTCAGTATTGAGTCTGCTCGTTATTTTTTGGATCTCATTATTCCCAATGTGGTGTAGAACGTACCTGTAAGTGACAGGCTGTTTCTAGAGCCAGCTTTCCTGAACAGACATTCAATGCTCTCCCAAACTACTGTCCTCAAGATGAAACATCAGAATGGCTTCTGCCATCAACGCACCACTGGTTGGATGGATACCGCCATCTTGTTCTGTCTCTCTGGCTGACTCAATCGATTGCCCAGCTCTCGTGTTAGCATCGATTCAACTGCACGTGATCTGAGGACAAATGTCGACAAATAGGATGAGTCAAGTGAACAATATTGGATACCCCTGGAGCCTCCATTATTTTACCTTTTGTTAAACTAGAATTTATCGCCCCCTCCAACCAAACGGTAGCAACTTCAACCTTTTGGCTACTATATCAGATAGTCTGGTTCATATGTTTACGTAAATTCGCGTACTTCGAAAGCACACTGGAAAGGGTGTTAAAGGCATCTACATACAGTAGGTGAGGGAAGCTTGGATTTTTCAGGCGAATTCTCCTCGCCGCGTAAGTTTGAAGAGCCAAATTGTCGGCTAGTCATTTTGACGAAATACACTCGTTTGCACACCGATTCGGTTTTGACGAAAGACCTACCTGAAACCCAGTTGAATCTCTATTTTGTGATGTTCTCAAGCAACCGCATATGCTGCACCAGGCCGCCGCAGGTTTCTGCTGGTACGGCATTCGAGATATCGCGATACACTGCGTAGACGTGATGCACTACTCATTAGATTACTGAAAACTCCTCGACAGCCCACGACCGGTTTCGCCCTTCTTGCGGCTCAGCAGGTAGGTGCAGTCCCCGAGTTTCCGGATTAGCTACAAGAAGAACGAAACCGTTCGTGAGCTGTCGACGAGTTTTCAGCATTACAGCTAGTAATTTTGTTTTATATTTCTTGGGACGCGAGTGATTTGGCCGACGCTTATGATGCTTTCTAAAAGCTCCCTTTATAAATCCCATTTATCTCCTCTCGATCCAAACCTAGACGTCAGTAACGTACGCCTATGTCACTGAAAGCATTGTGAAGCCATCTAAGCGCTACCGATTCCGTGTCATTGCGGTCGATCCATCCACCGGAGTGAGTTTGGTCCCTCCGTCTGATTGGTCCAACACAGTCAGCATGGAGCACATCAGTCCCGTAGACCCGCCTCAAATCAAGGTTGTTCGACCGATGGTAAGTGTGACTGCCCGAGGTTTTTCTCAAGCCAAATCAAGCGTGTTCTCTCTCTTCTCCGTGATCGTTTCCCACAAACTGTTTTTGGAGCGTGAACAGGACTCGCCTTTTTGGACTTCTCATAAAAACAAAGGGGTTACCATGGTGATGTTCCCGTTGTGGGAGAGCGACAACATTGTTGGGAAGAATACTTTTAGTTGGCGCTGGTAATTTTTCTCATTATATAAAGTGCTCTTCTGGACGGGTGCAATTTAGGGTGTACGATTATGGTCACTTTGCTGCTCTATTTGAACAATATCATCTGGCTGCATCTGTACGGTACCAGACAACCCGAGCAGTTGAATTTCAACTTTTTTCAACATGCCACTTGCCATATGCTGACAAGGTTTAATTTGGTCAATTGTTCCTTCACATCCACGTTCCTTAATTCGCGGTTGTAGAGTTGGACAGCTGTAACAGACTTCCCATCCAACAACAACCCTGTTATTCTATTTTCTTGACTGTTCCATATTTGATGATGAAATCCCAGCTTTAGGCTGTAAGTAACTTTCCCAGCATCGTTTGGCTTTTGAATAACAACCGAATGATTTTCGGAAACCAGCATGTGGTCTGTGACCATTCAGGTCCGCACTATGCTCCCAGGATTCCTCGCAGCTGTCAGTGTTGGTGCGCCACTCTCCCTCTCTAGGTAACGTCAATCAACTTGTGTAGTATCCTGTCAAACCGTCGTTTTCATTCGTTTTGAAACAACGCTATTTTTTTCTGACACAACGAGTTTTTTTATCAGAATGATGAATTGAAGGCTCAAGTCCAGTCATACCTGTTTGGATGTTCTGCACTACTACATTATATGTAGCCGTCAATCAACTGTAACAGGCGAAGATTCGTGTGACAATCGGGGCTTCTGCGATCGTCCATTCACTCTGTTGTTTCCACACGTCTTCCGTCCAACCGCTAACTAACATGCAGATACGGTTAATCCGGGTAAACAGTTGAATTCGTGAGTCCACAAGCGATAGTGTTCTGTGAAATACAAAAAAAAGTCGACTAAAACGCCACATGTTTGTTCTAACAGGACGAACGATAGCGTGTGGCGTCCTTCATCGTCACTCAGATTTAACAGCTCAGCATGTTCGGCTACCTATACCATACACGAAACTGATTATGATTCTCTCCACTTTTGTGCTATCTGCTCCGTGTCACCTTACACTAGACTTTTGTCACAGAGTTTATGGTCGAAATGGCAAAAGATTGCGTTGCTTAACGTGTTCAAATCCAGTCATGCAGAGCCATCCACCACGCCAATTTGCTCCACAAGTGGTCACTTCGTTTCATCGTGTGTGTTGCATATGTCCTAACCGTTAGGATGGATGATAGGACACCAGCGCGATGTTTGGATTACCACAATCTTTCCTATCCACTACTCTCGAACAAACGGTCGAAGAGTACCACCTGGTTGCTGTCTTACTGGTGAGAGGAGAACGTTGGAGGCAAATCTGGAACCAAGTAGTTGAAACTAATCTAAAACCGCAAATGCATGTGAAAACAAATAGTGCACGTAGGGGCGCTACTCGACAGCTTAACTTGTAATCTGACGCCTTACCTGATGCTGAGAGGCTTAAACGAAGGACACACTCGCTACCAGGGATGTTCTGCCGACATTGTGACAATGAGCTAAACCACGCTGACAAAAGCTCTTCAAATCTGATGCCAAGTACCGCTGAGGGAAACCGACGTTTCATTTACAGTCTACAGTAACTTGTTTGTAGACGGCCCGCATTCGACTTGCAAGAGGATGTTTCGTTACTTTTGGGACATCATATTCTCTCTCTCGCTTATTCTGAAGAGGGACAATGCTTTTCGCACTCAACTCGAACGTAATTCAAGGGCACTCCGTGGTGCTTATCCCATCTTAGTGGCAGATTTCGATTCTTCGATCATCAAGATTCAGAAACTTGAAGGAAATCAGTTGAACAGTTTGAGATTGGATCTGTGAGGACTCTTTCTTTCGTCTGAATACAGCTCTGGCACCAACCAATACGAACACACGTCACAATCCTGAAGGAAGTCCAGTTACCCCCTATGGGCTCGCCAAAGGCGTGAAATGAGATGTCAGAAAACGGAACAGCTATGCAACTGTGTTCATGAGGGCCTAATCGACAGACTCTTGAAGCAATGGTTAAATAAATAGCTGCGATGTAAAAACATACACGAACTTATCCTGGATGCCATCCGGTTGAAGGAATCACTGCGAGTGTTTTGGGTTGACAATAATGACACTACCCTTTCTTCCATGCTTGCGACTTTTATCTCAGCTGTGGCTACCTGTCCGATCTCACGGATTACTTGCTTGAGCTGAAGAAGGAATGGAAGAGCTCAGTTTTATGCAAATGGACTGCTTTCTACAGACGTATTCCTGGTTGACTTGTAGCTCAGAGTTCTGCTATTTCAATGGTCTTCTAACAACCTATCGACGACGAGTTGAGAGGAAGCGTTGCATTTGCGAACTTCAAAAACATATCTGGAACAATCGTCATGTAAAGTTTGATACAAAATCGCCATGTAACGGCCTGTTGCCCACGTTCTCATAAACCAGCGTGACCCGGACTGTGAACCAGCGTCGTATCCGACTTCTTGACCGACTTCATTTGCAAACGGGAGCGAGGTGGCCCAAGTGGTTGGAGCGCGAATTTACTGGCCGGAAGATCCGTGGTTAGAATCCGACCTCCACCACTCGACTTCCCCTGTCTAGGCTTGGGCAACCTGGCAGTATCCTAGCCCTCGTGCTTCCTTCTTGTGGCATGGCAGCTAGGCACCGGAAGGGTGCTGCAGTTGGACGCTCTCATTTGCACAATATGTGGAAGATCACATGAGTTCTCCGCTCAGACATGGCGCAGTCGTGTCATCGATTGCGCTCGTGCATCCAAGCTATTGCCTTCAATGCATAGCTCCCTTCCCAATCTCCCCACTTAATAGTCCACTTACGCACAAATGAAAAACATCCGCCTCCAATGCGCAATTACCCACCTCACCTTTCCAAGTCATCGGTGAACGAAACTGTGGCAGCTAAAACCACCGTACGACAGGTATGTGGTTTTTACACTCCAGATCCTGATTACTCAAGTACCGTAGAAGTACAAAGTTCATGACTAGCTGCAGAGCCTCAAGACCATGTGAAACACATGGAACGGGATCGCATTCCTAAGCCGATGCTAGGCTGGGAAGATCAGGACAAGAAGAGAGGACTTTGAAAACCTGTCCAGATTCATATCATGGGAGACTCTGTCCCTGGACAAGTAAGTCTGACGAACTGACATGCGGGTGTGGTGAGTTCCGAAACGTTTTGATATTCGGACAAACGATTTGTTCCTAAGCGACTGGCGACAAAGCTAACGACATCAGCAAAGATATGTAATGTATCTGCATGAGCAAAATGGAACTGAAGGAACATCAACATTCCCATGCTATATCAGTCGCTAGACATCAACAGACAAGTTGGAATAAGGTCATACTAATTGCTCGCGTTGAAAGTATGTCGCTACTTTGTTGTTCTTTTCTCCAATGCTCACCATGTGTGGTTTTATGCTCCTGTGCTGAGCAATTCTATGATGGCGAGATGGACAAATGGGTTAGAGCGCGAATTAACTGAACGGAAGGTCCGTGTTTCGAATCCGACCTGTGGCTCTCAACTTCCTCTGTCTAGGCCTGGGCGACCTGGCAGTATCCCAGCCCTCGTGCCTTCTTCGTGTGGCATGGCAGCTAGGCACCGGAAGGGTGCTACAGCTGAACGATTTTTTACTTTTCTACTAAGACTTAAAGGAACTAGGAGATGAAACCTCATTGTTTTATTCCTGGATGATGCTCATCGTGATGCTGTCCTGCTTAGGCCGGTTGACGGCGTCCAACGAGTTTCTGCCTGTTTGCCCACCGATCTCATTCCTTCTGCTTTTCATCGAATTCACCCGCTCATAGAGACAGTTCCAAAGTTGCCATGTTCTCTAGTTCAGTAGAGGTAGCTCCTTGTTAGATCCCAGCCAACTGTTCATAATTCACGTAGATATGCTCAAGTATAAAAGGTTTGTTTGACGCTAATGATGAAGCTGGCTTGTTGCATCCAGTAGATTAGGTATCGAATTCTACTGCGTTGAATGGACAAAGTCCCACTCAGAATACTATCGCATCCAAACTAAGCATGTTGAATAGATGCCTACAAAAGCATCCGCTGGTGTCGTCGTTCCGGGAGTTTTCACGGCTTCTCGCAAAACATATGACCGCGACTGAAGCCGCTTGAATCAACCCGGTCATCAGTAATCTCGTGTTGTGAATTTCGTGAAAGCGAGTTCTGCATGCCCGTACCACACTAGTGGGTCGTTCAGGTGGCTTTTTTCATTTCCAAACTTCCCATCTCCTTTGCAATGCCAAGTGTGTTTCAGTCAGCCAGAGAGGCTGTTTCAACATCATTTTGGTAGTATCAGGAGGTTTAGTTGAAATAAGGAGGACCTTGGAGTACTTGGTGAACAGATGTAGACCTATCCGTAACCGACCAACTGGATTTCGGGTTGTTTGCTGCTCTCAGCAACTTCCGTTTAGCATCGTACTACAGAGCCTACATTTGGGAAGCGTGGAAACCGAACGAGTGCTGTTTTTCAACTGACTCAAATGAGCGAAGATTTTGCTTATATCTAGAGCCTAGCCGGTCAACGAGTTTCGTGTTTCACCCATGTATGACGTTCCTATTCGCACATTCTTGATGATGTATATATTCGTGCTATCAGAATAGCATACATTCACAGCAGCTGTCATCAGCAGTGCATCAGCTTGGCTGCTAAGAAGGTAGCATTTGATCTCCTCGCCGATCTTGATAGCCACCTTCCAAACGTTTCGTCATTGTACGAACAAGCATCGTCAATACGCGATTAACTGGGCATATCTTCCAAAACACTATTCGTGTTTTGTATAGTGTCTTTAACATTGATGAGTTGTTCGAAGTTTGATTTGCATGGGATTTGTCTTGCTTCGCGTTCTGAGTCTGTCAAGTTTCAGCAGTAAAGTATGTGTTACTGCGACGATTGTGCACCAACAACAGTACTCCCGGGGAAAAATGAACCAATAGTCTTGATGCCAAAATGCCCATCCGGTCAACTTAGGTTGAATGAGAGAAGACGTGTAACAACGTAGTTAAGTCTTACCAAAAAACCAGCGGGGCAAACCTGGCTTCGTCGGTTGGCAGGTTTGAGAACGTGCCTTTCTGGTCTTCAAGTCATTCAATGCAAGTACCCAATTAACAGACCATTCAAGTCAACAGCGGACTTTTCTACAATTATCAATTGAGTTTTACTCCACTGAGTCTCTCAGCTACCCTTTGCGAGTTACAGTAGTGACAAACACAACCCGATATATCCAACCTCCCTCTCTCCCGATCGCTCAAACATAGCGCTTTTTCATTATCGGCTCTTGAAGGCAAATGCGTGACAATTGGGCACCCACTGGATCTCGCACTACTGCTACTACTGATGCTGATAATAAGCAACCTAGTTTCCACAACTGACCACAGAACAACATTTGCTTTTCCTCTTGCCTGAGGTTGGATAACCTCCGGCTTCCTTTAGATGGCATGACATTCATGTACCCGGGGCATGTTGGAACTGAACGATCAGTATTTATTATTGATCGTTATCAGTTAGACTCGTGCGACTGCCCATTAAACTTAGATAACTGCGCGCAGCTAGTTTTTGTAGATTTGCTTCCGGTTATGTCTAGCATAGAACGCAGCATATCCTTCTCTGTGCAGCCATCTCTTCCTCTGATTCTTTCACGCGTTGAACGCTGCTTCCTCATCGTAAGACATGTAGGTATTTCATGAGCCTACTCCAAATTACTGGCGTGTATTCCGGTGTTCGCGTGTTTCTGTGTATGACTTTGTGCAACCGTTTCGCTCTTCACTTTCTCATTGTTGAATTGTCTGGCTTGTATCATATCAACTCCAGAATGCACCATTATGGAATGTAAAGGCTTGCTGCAGG